AGCGAGTACTTCGGGGTTGCATCCGGTGGATGCTTTTGGGGAACCGTGTGATTGATCTTGGTCGGGGTCCTTTTCTTCATTGGACCGTTGGTTTTCGTTTCGGGGAGGCCCTTCACCCAGGACCTCCACTGCCAGCAGACGCTCTTTCCGTTACCCTTGCTGTGATCAATCCTACCACCATTCTCGACAAAGAGTGGAATGTTAATGAGGTTGGAGCCGATGTGCTCATTGCAAGCGAGACCTCGGCAAATGCCCGGGTCCAAAAAATCATGACTTATAAACTTCGGGGTTTAGGTTACCGTTGCATGTGGGGTTCTCCCACTGAAACCAGGTTCCACACTGGCTCCGGGCGGGCCATGCTTCGCAGTTATGCACTGGGGGTTGCCACCTTCTCCAAGTTGCCGTGCCGCCCTCCCCTGCAAGACTTGCCGGCTGAAATGCTGAGCAGTTGTAGAATTGCTGAATGCTTTGTCCGTCTTCACGGCTTCGAGGTCAAGATAATTTCTGTTTACGGGGTCCCGCGCTGCCTTCCTTCTGCCGCGGAGAAAAACAACTTGCTCTTGGCCTGGGCCTTTCAGAGGGCCACCGTTTCCTGTGTTCCCGCGTTGGTGGCTGGGGATTTCAATACCAGCCCTACAGAGTTGCCTTCCTGGCAGGCCTTTGCTGACCTGGGGTGGATTGAGCTTGGTGCTTTTGCAGCCCAGTGTCATGACGTGCACCTGCCGTGCACATGTAAAGGAGCCACGAGATTTGACACTTTCCTCCTGCCTCCGTGTCTGTACCAGTACTTTCAATCGGCTGATGTCCTCACAGACAGACACTTGTTTGATAGCCATGCGCCAATGCGGCTCCGTCTTCAACTACCCTCTCGTGGGGTCCCCCGCTGGATTTGGCGCCTCCCGCAGTCCTTTGCTGATTTGGTTGACAAGCCGCAGGCCCTCTCGCCGGCTTATCAGGCGTCGTCCCAACAGGTCAGGCTAGCATTTGGGCCAGAGGTGCCCGAAACTTGCGAGGGCGATAAACTCCGCCTCTGGTCCGCAACGGTTGAGGCTGCTGTCTCTGATGTGCTCCACAACGCTCATCTTACTGACCCCGCTCGCAACAGACTCAAAGCACTGCCCAAGCGACATCGTGGCCGTTGCCGTGAAACTGTGCGTCAACAGGCGGCTCCACCGCACCTTCCTCGCCCCGGGCGACAAGGCGATCCTGAGGCTTTTGATGAGGATACATCTGTTCTGGGTCGACAGAGACTTCGTCAGTGGCGTCGCTTGCATACTTTCCTGCAGGGCTTGACCAAGTTTCAGGCCGATCGCTTTCGTGGTCCCTTGGCCCCCGATGGCTGGCCCTGTTCTCTTCACCTTGAATGGCGCGCCATATGTCGGGCCGCCGGCTATGGCATTTCCTTTAGTGACTGGGTCCTCCAATGGCCTTGCTTTGTCTTCTTTCCCACAGAGAGGCCCAACCTTGACTATGTTAGGGACCTCACGTCCTTCGTCAGGTTTGATGTTGAGGCCCTTCAGCGGCAAAACGTGGCAGTGAAAGCCAAGCTGTTCAAGTTCCGGCTTCACGTGGATGCTAAAGACTTTGGGGCCGCGCGCAGCTTTGTTCGGGTCAAACCTGCCCAGAATCCTCCCTTCACATGTGTCCGCCACAGCTCTGAGCAACAAGTGACCCTGAAAGACCGGCACAACTATCACCTCTGTACTTTTGCCGCCCGCCACGAGCGCTGGCTCGAGCTCCACAGCCAGGTGTTTTACGCCCAGGTCCCGGGTCAGGTGACTCAGGTTTCTCCCGGTGCTGTCACAGTGTTGTTTGATACCGCTGATGACTGCGTGTTGCCTGCAACAGGCCGCCTCTGTCGCTACCAGCAGGACAGCTCATGGCAAGGCGTGGTGGGTTCTCTAATGGAGTTCTGGAGCCCGATCTGGAATCGGGATTCCTCCCAACAGGAGGCTGACATTGCGGCCTGGCCCAAGTTCCAGCAGCTGCTCCAAACATGTGGGCAACCAGGTTTTGAGGTCCCCGTCGATCTGCTGGCGGTCGATGCCTGGCAACATGTCGCCAGAAAGCTTTCGCCTCGCAAGGCGCGTGGCATCTGTGGCTGGCACAACGCTGAGCTCCGCATCTTGCCTCGTGCAGCCCTTTCCGATTTGGCTTTCATACTGCACCACATGTCGCCCTCCGGCTTTCCAGCATCGCTTCTCAAGGCACGGGTGGCGGTCTTAAGCAAAGTTGCCGCACCGTCTCACGCCGCCCAGGCCCGCCCCATCACTGTGCTTAGCTGCATTTATCGTCTTTGGGCCAGAGTCCTGTGCACACAAGTCCTTGCGGTTTGGAGCTCTAAGCTGCCCCCGGCAATTTCTGGTTGCCTCCGTGGCCGTTCTGCTTTGGACTTGGCTTATGCGGTCCAAGCCGAAATCGAGGCCTGTTTGTTGTACCAAGAGGATCTTTCCGGTTTGTCATTGGACCTCCGCAAAGCCTTTAACTACTTGCCACGGGCACCAATTTGCCAGCTCCTACAGCATCTCGGCGTCCCGCCTCATGTCTGTCACTTTTGGCAAAAATCTTTGGCCAAGGTCTGCCGCACCTTCCAAATCAACCAGAGCCTGGGCCCGGACCTCCCTTCAACAACCGGCGCCCCGGAAGGAGACCCTACCTCGGTGTTGGCCATGATCGCCGTCTGCTGGTGTTTTGTTAGCCTCCTGCAAGGGCTGGTGCAGCCTCGTGCCTACGTTGACAATTGGTCCTGGACGGCTGACGCCCCTGATAATCACGGACCTGCCTTGCTCATTTTGCAGGACTTGACCGAAAGCCTCTCTCTACAAGTTGATTGGGCCAAGACATACGTCTGGGCTCTCCAGAACAGCTCCAAAAGCTGGTGGCGGGCTCACAGCTCCACCTTCGTCCCCTCGGGTGTCCAACTTACGTTGGTGGATCAAGTTCAGGAGCTGGGCTCCCTTTTCACGTTTGGCCGCAGAACTTGCAGTGGAGCTTTTGGCGGAAAGTGTCAGGCGGCACTTGGTCGTCTTCAGAGCCTTGCCTCTGATCCACAAGGGCTGCCGGTCCGGGCCAAAATCGTGCAAAGTGGCATTTGGCCCTTCCTTTTCTATGGCACCGAAGCATGCCTCCCTTCCCGTTCCACAATTTCCAACCTACGCAGCTCCGCTGCCCGAGCAGTTGTGGGGGATCATAAGACATTGTCTGCCTGGGCTGCACTTTGCTTTTCCCCGGGGGTGCAAGATCCAGAGGTCTTCCTGCTATGTCATCATCTCAGTCAGCTGCGCAGGTGCTTTGCGATTGATCCGGCGACGGCCGAAACAGTTTGGTCTCAGGTCGCAGGCACAGTATCGATTCCAGACCGGGCTGTATGTGGCCCTGCGGGCTCCCTGCAGAATCTTTTGCACCGCAACGGCTGGACCTTCCACATCTCAGGTACGTGTCGTGGGCCCTTGCACCAAGCCTTCAACATACGGCTCACCAGCATCAAGGGCATCCGCAGCGCCGTCTGTGCTGCATGGGCCGATACGGTTCACGACAACATATGCCATCGGAATGGCCTGCGCTTTGCACCGATGCCTTGCCTGTCTGAGACACAAAAGGTTTTTGCCAAGTTTAGGCCGTGGGAGCTTAAGTTCCTTGCCAAGCACTACAGCGGTGGCTTCATGTCGGGAGCCGAACGCAACACATGGTCCAGAGAGGATACTGAGTTTTGCCCGCTTTGCTCGGCTGTGGATTCCAAGGCCCATCGCCTCTACAAGTGCCCCGCCCTCTTTGAACAACGAGCTGCTCACCAGGATACATTGGATTGGGTGCAAGAGCACAGGCCCCATTGGACCCACCTGGCCTACGTTGCCTGGCCTGATGAGGCCTCCTTACTGCAGCTGTTGTTGCGGCAAATGGGTCCCCCAGCTTTGCCGCCGCCTCCCGCTCCTGTCGACTGTCTGTGCCTGTTTACAGATGGCAGTGCGCTTCAAACCAACAATGTCATGGGACGACTCACGGCTTGGGCTGTCGTTGCGGCCCCACGCCCCAGCAACGCCCCGGAAATCCAGCCATGGCAAGTGGAACCTTCACGCCTCGTCGCTTCATTTGCCATTGTCGCACAGGGTTCTCCCGCTGGTGCCCAAACTGTGCCCCGTGCCGAGCTAGCGGCAATTGCCTGGGCCAACAACTGGTGCGCTCAATGTCCGGAGCAGGTGGTGGAGCTGTACAGCGATTGCCAGTCAGCCATTGATCTTTGGACTGACTGGACCGTTGCAGGTTGGGATGCTATTTCGCGTCGTTGCAATGCTGACCTACTGCAGCACGCCGTGCCCCGGGCCAACTTGTGCGTTTACAAGGTCAAAGCTCATCGACAGCAGGCCGAGCTGGCCGACATGACGGCATGGGAGCAATGGCTGACAGCCGGTAATGAGGCCGCGGACTCCGCGGCCAAAGCAGCATGCAGCAACATTCCCTCGCTGGTGCAGGATACAGCCAGACGCGTGGCCGCAGTAAGCTCCACAGATTCCCGTTACCTATACGCTTTTTGCAAAGCCATTTTGGCCATTGGTCCGGTTGACGCTCAGCTTCGGAGTGCCGTGCGCACCCGCGTGCAACAGGAATCGGACGAACAGCAATGGTCTTCCTTGGCAGTTTTCTTGGAGCGCATTCGGGAGTGGCGAATCCCCTCACCGGGGTCCTCGTCCCTACCGGATATATGGGAAGAAAATTGGGTGGGATGGACTTTTGGTCCACGGTATGGGGCCAAACTTCTTGCATGGATCGAGCAACTACGGTGGCCAACAGCACCGGTTGAACCACAACATGATCATCACATCTCTTATTTTGAGCTTCTGCTGAGCTTTGTTACGACGATGTCGGTGGTGCCTATCGTGGAGGACAGCGCGTCCCCCGGCAGGTACTTGCCAGTTACAACTGCTAATCACCGTCTTCGTCACGTTACACTTCGCATGCTGACGGAATGTTTTCGTGCGTCTCTGAAACGTTTAGGATCCCAACTTGATTGCGACCTTTTGCGATTCACTGAAGTCACTGACATAACTTACATGCGGCTCCTGCACATTCCAGCACCGTGTCCAGGTCTTTCGGGTCGGCCCCAGCTACCGGGCAGTGCTTGGTTCGAGCTATTGCAGGATGTGGTAGCGGCTGAATTGCCAGTTTTACGGCTCATAACCAGATGTGCCGATTTTGAGGTGGCATGAAACATGTCGCTTTCTCACCGGAGGACTCTCGTCGGGACGCTTGTGGTGCAAGGGTGTCGCGGACTTCGCATGTCTAGTGCG